ACTACCAAAACTACTACTACTACTACTACTACTACTACTACTACTGCTAGTACTACTGCTAGTACTACTGCTAGTACTACTGCTAGTACTACTGCTACTACTACTACTACTACTACTACTACTAGTAGTATTAGTACTAGTACTAGTCCTAGTACTAGTACTACTACTCCTCCTCCCGCTGCTGCTGCTACTACTACTAAGTACTACGTACTATTAGTACGACTACGAATGCTCCGTCGATTGCGAAGATGACCACTACTACGATGCCTACGGTTACGGCTACGACTACTCGAAGATTACGACTGAACGGCGATTCGACGATTCGACCAGTACATACCAGTACTACTACAGCTACAGCTGCTCTTACTACTAACACTGCCTGTACCAAACCCGAAGCCAAAGAATCCGGCCTCGTTCGACTTACCCGCGCCGCCTCGAGGTCCCTATTATCGTCATTCATCTCGGCTGCAGGGGCTGCTGCCCGTGGCGCGCATACCTTGGATCAGAGTTCTGACGATATCCACGACCCGCCGTTTACTGTTGTGTTGTTGGTGCTTTGATTTGTGTCTTTTGGGGGGACGGGTTTACTGTAAGAGATGGGGTGTTCGGCTTAGCCGTTTCGAAACCCGCAGAAGGTGTACACCAGCAAATGTAAACAGAACCCCAGAGGTGTCGGAGCGAAGGGTCAATACTTTCGTTCAGAGCTCATAGCCCACATTGGGCAAGCATAGTTGGCAGGGGGGCAAGGGGTGAGTGCCTTCTCCTGCACGACAAGCACAGGCCGCCATCAGCATTTAGAAGCACAAATAAAGCCCCGCGTTCCAACATAGTGCTCGGGACAAGCCCAACATGCCTTTCGGTCTCAGGCCCTCGAACTGGCGATCCCAAACCGCATCTGTCTGGCCTCATTCGAGACCACAAAAATGACTGATAAAGTCAGAGGTGCACCTACGGCCGCTTTGACTGCGGCCTGCTCGGAGGCGTAGAGCACTACCCCCGTTCGCGGGTAGAAGGCCACTGACATGGACTGGCCACCTTCATCGGCTGAGCGCTGACAAAGAATAGCAGAAGTAAGCTTTCAAGGCTCAACGACGAAGCTGATCACGGAATATCTGTCCCCGCTCCCTCAAAGCACTGTGACATGGATTGGTTCTGAAGCCTCAACCTAGGCGACGACCGCACTAATTGAGCTATGCCACAGGCTCTCATGCCGGCTGTAGTCGCAGTTTTCGCAGTACTACTGAAGTGGTCACGGCTTCTGAATAGAGCTGTTCAGGGAGACATGGGCCCAAACAACTAGTTGCAGTACCTGCCTAAACAGCCTTAAAGCCTTGATGTCGGGGTCGGAGGTGCGATGAGAATGCCCACATGACCAAGCGCCTGCTGCCAGAATCATCTGGCGGTGTGCATCGACGGAACAGGTGATGCACCTTGATTGCAGACAGCATTTTGCTTGCTTCACTCCTACCCATGCGTCGTCGTATATTGGAGTGTCGGCAACACTACTTGCGCAAATGGCCTCGGCCTGGTAAAACACCTCCTAGCAGCTCTAACCGTCCAAAGAAGCAAGCAAGGCAAACATGGAACACAAATCGAAAAATCCCGCAGAGCCTGGACCTCAAACAATTTGTTCGGCCTGAGGCGAACGTCCAACGACTAAGTCCTCAACCAGGCCCTAAAACAGAGCCTCACTAGGCTACCAATCCAAGCCTTACAACAATAAAATACCGTACAATCTAAATTCACAGTGCCAACTGCGGAAGCCTGAGGCGTTGAACCCCGAAGCCGCCAAAACAACCCCAAACCCAAAGAGTTGAAACCAGCAACGAACACCCTTCAGCCCCAAACTCCTTTGCAAAAGAAGGCCAGAGCCCTACAATCCGAAAAACGTCCTGGACTATCTCCCAAACATACATAGACTTACTGTTGAGATTCCATTCCCCAGAACCCAACTTTTTTGTGGAGGGGCTGCAGTGCACATGACCTCATGCCCGCCTCATGCCGAAGCTTCAGCCCTCGTGTCCGAAGACTCCAAACTCATGCGCTTTGCGCATCCAGGGCTCAGGCACCCAGCTAAAACCCTCAACCCTTTTGCATCAGGCTTGCATGTCGTGCCAAAACCCCAAATATTTCTTTCCCCAACAAAAACCCTAAAAGTAGATCCCCGAAAAGGAGCCCTGAAAGAACCCCGAATAAGTCGAGCTGAAGCCTGAAAGCCCCAACTCCCAACCTCCTCTGCGTGGCAAGTCGCAGGCCAAAGGATCCCCGAGCCCGGGCCATGAAAAGTCGGGTGGCCTCGCTCGGGGCTTGCGATCCGCCAGGCTCTGAAATACTATGTTACTATCATAAATATATAAGCATAAATAAAGAAAAAATAATAAATATAAATATATATATATATATATATACATACATACATATTCATACATATATGAGTATGTATATACTGTACTATAAAGTATAAAGTGTTACGTCGTCGTGTAATGTACTGCCATAGAATAGAATATGACATCACGTAACGTAACATGGTATAGAATACTTACATGACATGGCATAGCATAGAAACATGATATACATAACATAATGCAATACGAGACAATACTACGTAATATTACACAATATGAATGTGAGTATTATATTCGGATATGCCTACTATGTTGCTGCATGGTATGATACCGTACGATGATCTAAAGGATGTAACAGAAATTTTGTATGACATGGTATTTCACTCTGCTAGTTTAAGCTTTCTGGGTGCTGTTGAGGGTCTAGGGATTGGGGCCTTTGTTCGGATTTGCTCTAAGCGTTCCAGCTGAAGATCTAAGCGTTCCAGCTGGTTGAGGTTTGGACGTGAGGCTTCTTTGCCACTGACTCTCGGCGCAGCCAGGAGGGTTAGCAGGTTCATGACCTTCTAAGGAAGCCATAAATATTAGTCTCAGTATCCAGCATCTCGGATCCCGGGGACATGTGAGTCACAGCTACAAACAGGCATCTTGAGTACACTTCTATGGAATGGGAAGTCTGAGTGTCAAACCATGTGCAGCGACCTGAAAAACCATAGGTTTTAAAAGGCAAGCACCCCAAGACTTGCGGAGGGTTTGGCGACTAGGGCGTAGGGTCCGAACACAAACTCCGCACAGCGAAAGTCCAAAGACTTGAACGATTGACTCTCAACATCAGTTGCGGCCTGAAGTAGGTCATTGTCGAAGAAAGCATCTATGGCACATCGGACCATCTGCTGCAAATCCCGTCCTGGACACGCCACGTCACTCCGAGGAAGGTCGTCCATGCCCTATGGAGCCAGATGATGTTGATAGCGACTGTGATGATCATGGGCCCGTGATCGGATCGCCCCATGAAGAGGCCCAGGGGCCTAGGGCCAAGAAGCCTCGAGGCCTTGCAGCTCAGTCAACCTCGGGCCCCGGCCTTTCAAGGGAAGCTTGAGGGCGGACGTCTCCAAACTCGTCCTGACAAGTGTTTCTCTTCAGACTCCGAGATCTCAAGGCCTTGAAAGCTTGGGCTTGCGAGTTGCAGACTAAAAGCCGTGTGCCACGGCGTGGGACTTGGATTCTGGTCTTTGAGTAAGAAAAACATTCTCCGCAAGTCGGCTCAATCTTCATGCAACAACAGCAGGATCTCATCAAGTCTCTGTATCCAGTAAGCAGTTTTCGAGTGTTCCCGTCCTGCAGTCTTCATAAAGGCATCGGCGCTTGATGTTCAGCTGGTCCAACTCAAGGCCCTTCTTCCTAATGGAACATGCGTGGAGCAGGCTGCTACAACAAGTCTAGCCTTGAGAGGGGTCGCAGGTCGCAAGCTCTATCCTCTTTTCTTGCCGTTCTTCCTTGGGGTTGGCCTAAACCCACAAGCAGCGTGACGTCAAGAGCCCCTGAATCTGATGCAACCAACCAACCTGAGAGGATTGTGCCAGTGGAGAGAGGTCGACGAAAGGGTCCGAAACGTTGATAAAGCAATACTAAACTTTCCTAATCTCCACCCTATCTTACATCCTCAGTATCGCAGCCAGCACATCATAGTATCAATCAAATTCTGATATTCTGGCCGATTTGAAGTTCAGAGTTCAGACTTTGAGGTGTTATGGTGTTGCCGTGTTGCAGCTGAGAGTTGAACCCCATCCTGAGCCAAGATGCAGGTATTTCTGCAACACGGCATCCATGATCGCTCCAACTTGCTCACAGCACTTGCGCGTCGGCACCTACAGCTGATCGGTCGCGATTGAAGCCAGTGCTCAGAACAAGTTAGTCCAACTAAACAGCAAAGCTTGTAGTCTTCCGGCTCTTTACAAACTTTAGAGAACCTCGCAGTCAAGGTCCAACCAGCACGGCCCGAAAAGGAAGCCGTAGCGGGCACTCAGCGCGAAGCATCCCTGCACGCGTAGAAGCTCCAGGACCTGCAAAATGCCCGAGCGCACAAGACCCTGTCTTGATGGCAGTAGGAAAAAATGTTTGGGGCTTCGTGGAACTGGCTTGACGGGCGGCGGAGGATACACGGAAGGCCTGCAAGGGTTTGCAGGCTTACGGCACCCTGCAATTTGGATGAGCCTTCGAGGCTTTAGGAAACCTGCGTTCTGGGATGTCTGTCTACGTGGTAGTGCCAGGGCTGAAGATGTCCGGGATGGTGGATTTATTGGTGGAGGCCAATTGAGAGCTCACGGGCCTGTATATATGTCTTACGCTTCGGGTTGTGGCGAAATAAAACTAGCCGTATACAATGTGAATAGAAAGGACGGAGATGCCCCAGCGATGGCCGCAGAGTCCACGTCGGACGGCTTCGCATGCCACGTCACTCGCTCAAGCCAAGCCTGCCACTCCGGTTGCATGATGCTGTCGCTTTTGCTGCGCTGCTGATGCTGGAGTTCTTCTTCATGGTGTGCTGTTCTGGTGCTGCTGGTGGTGATGGTGGAGACGGTCGTGCTGGCGGCCGTCGCCGTCGTAATCGTCATGGTTGTTCTGTTGCGGGTTGTGGGATGGGGCTGGGAGGGATGTGGTTGGGGTGGTTGTTGTTGTTCTTGCTGTTGCTGCGGCTGTGGCTACGACTGCGGCAACGGTGGGGGTTGTTGTGGTGGTTGCCGTTGTGGTTGTTGTTGTCGTTGATGATGTTGTGGTTGCTCTTGCTGCAGTTGTTGTCGTTGCTGCTGCTGTTGCTGCTGCTATTTCTGTTGCTGCGGCTGCTTCTGCTGTTGTCGTTGTTGCTGTTGCTGTTGCTGCTGCTTCTGCTGTTGGTGTTGTTGTCGTTGCTGCTGCTGCTGCTGCTGCTGCTGCTGCTTGTGTTGCTACTGCTGTTCTGGTTGATGATGTTGTTGTTGCTGCTGTTGATGCTGCTGCTGCTGCTGCTGCTGCTGCTGCTGCTGCTGCTGCTGCTGCTGCTTCTGCTGTTGCTGCTGTTGTTATTGTTGTTGTCGTTATCGTTGTTGCTGTTGCTGTTGTCGTGGTTGTGGTTGTGGTTGATGTTGGTTGTTGTTGGCTGTTGTTGCCTCTATTGGTGTTGGTGTTCCTGCTGGTGTTGTTGATGTTGTTGTAGTTGTTGCTGTTGCCGTTGCTGTTGTTGTTGCTGTTGCTGCAGTTGCAGTTGCTGTTGCTGCTGATGTTGCTGTCGTTAGTGTCGTTGTGGTTGTGGTTGTGAATTTATGTTGTTGTTGTGGTCGTTGTGGTCGTTGTCGTTGTCGTTGTGGTTGTTGTCGCTGTTGCTGTTGCTGTTGCTGTTGCTGTTGCTGTTGCTGTTGCTGTTGCTGTTGCTGTTGCTGTTGCTGTTGTTGTCGTTGGTGGTGGTGGTGTTCTTACTCTGCTCTCGCTGTCGTTGTCGTTGTTGCTGGTGGTTGTTGTTGGTGGTGGTGGTTGTGGTGCTGGTGTCGTTGTTGTCGTTGGTGCTGTTGTTGTCGTTGTGACGGTTGTGGTGGTAGTCGCTGTTGGTGGTGTTGGTGCTGTCGTTGTTCTTTGCTTGCTGTTCCTGTTGCTGTTGTTGTGGTTTCTTGTTGTTGTTGTTGCTGCTTTTGTTGCAGTTGGTGTTGTTAGTGGTAGGGTGGCGGTGCTTCTGCAGTTGCTGCTGCTGGGTGCTGGTGCCGTTGCTGATGTTGTTGCCGTAGTTGGCTCAAGGATTTGCTCCTCTATTATACAAGAAACAGAAGCATGAAGTTGTTGTTAGGGTGGGTCTCCTGGCTTTGTTCGTTCCATGTTGTTGTTGTTGTTGCTGCTGCTGCTGCTGCTGGTGGTGGCGCTGCTGCTGCTGCTGCTGCTGTTGGTGGTGCTGTGTTTTTGTTGTTGTTGTTGTTGTTGCTGTCGTCGCTGTTGTTGCTGGCGTTTGTGTCTTGTGGATATGCTGTCGCTGCTGTTGTGGCTTTTGCCAATGCCGTTGTTGTCACGGGTTGAGTGTGGCGGCGGTTGAAGAAGGACCAACTTCGATTCAGCCCAAAACCCCAAGCAGGCCTGTACTGCTGCCAGCTCGTGCATCTGACCTCGGGGAGCATGGAACTGTCCTGTGCCCTGTAAACCCCAAGAACCCAGGGTTCATGTAGGATTCCAGGACTCGGGGTACAACGTCAGGAAGCCACAAACTAACATGTCTGGATAGAAATGAAATATCTGTGCGACTCATCGTTCTGAAGCTCCTACTGATGTTGCTGCTCCTGCTCCTGGGCTTGGGGCACGGGGACGGCGCATGAGTTCTGACTGCCCGAATAAGAAAACTGTTAAGACCGGTGGGCCTGCGAACTCGAAGAAGTCGAAGTCCCCGTTGTGCGTGACGAAGATCTCCATGTTTTTCCTGCTCTTCTGAATCCTGTTTTCCGAAAAGCCGGTGTAGACCTCATACATCTGTGGAGGCGACCACTGGTGCGGATGAGCTCCATCCAATGTGGACTTCGAGCTAGTGGCGAAGCGAGTGTGGCCGACATAGAGGCGTCCAGCTCCGACGAATTTCTGACGGCACAACCAAGCCCACCTTTCCGCACGATCGAGCTTCCTTCGCAAGAGTTCCGAAAGGCAGGTGCGCTTTTGATTCACCACCCGTGCACGGAGACCCACGAGATCCCAGTGGTCGGACCCAGTTGATCTGAAGATGTTGTTGTTGATGACATAGCTCAGCACACCGCCACTTTGGGCACCTCGTACCATTGTCACCTCAGCCATCTTCTCCAAGATGTCCTTCATCGGCTCCGGCGTGGCTGCCCAGGCTCCATTGAGGAGGATCAACCCGAAATTGCCACACCAAAACCAGCCATCCCGCGGACCTAGATCCGTCCTACGCTCCTGGCGCCTCTCCAATCGAAAAAGATCTGACAAGCAAGCCTCAGCTGCTGTCAGGATGGCCGCGCAGCGCACTGTGCTGTCATAGACGGTGCACGCTGCGACGGCGATGAACACAGACGCCAGCCAGCCAGCGTGTCGTATGGCGACCTCCTGCCAGACCCTTGAGGTCTTGACTTGCACTTGCCGGAACCTCGAACTGAGCCCCGGCAGGACAATTCCATGAAGCTCTTGGGGTTCCATATCTAAATCAACAGAACGGCCAAGATGATGTAGGTTGCCATTTTCTACCCATATCAAATCAAACAGACCGCGCACAAAGCCAAGCCGAGAGGCAGAAGTATGGAAAGGAGATTGGAGCAGCTCATCTTCGGCGAGCAGCCCAGCATCAGCCCAGCAAAGACGTGACTCAGCTCATGAGCCGCACCGAAAACCAGGTACCTCCAAGGTTCCGGGCTCTAATCTTAGAGGCAAAAGGGCGGTCGCAGTGTTCAGGACGGCAGTTAAAGCCGGGGTGCAACAGGGTGTTCACCTCATCCGAAACTATAGCATTATAACGAGCCACGATTCAGGGTGGATAGGCCCTTGACTCGTAGCCACTACATGCCGGCCTTCTGTGCAGCAGATATCTACAGTAGGATCCTTATTCGGCTGGGGAACTGTCGAAGGCCTGAGGCCTCGAGCAGCAGCGATCTGGGTAGTGTAGGGGCCTTAATAATTGGAATAGGGTTTTGGGGGCCTGTATACTATAATTATAGTAGGGAACCCCCAAAATAGTCTTAGGCCCCTACATTAAGCTGCAAGCTCTTAATTATGTATTTCTTGTCTCCTACTTGCGTATACTGGTCCCCGGGTTCGTCCCCGCCCCTTTGCCCCCAAGCACCATGCTGCGAATCGCATGCGCCAGCCGATCTCAACCTTGGATACACATCTTTTGAAGGTGTTGTGCCTGGCGACTTCGATTATGTGTGCGGGCTTCTGATTGAGAACTCCTGCATGTAGCAAGGATCAACAGCTTCAGGCCACAGTGTTCGGATCAGCAAGCTAAAGCAACGCAGAACTCAGGGCCCCCCAAAAGCCGATCTGTCATTCCTCGTGAACTCAGCGTCGCACCAGGTGTGGTGCCTATACACAAGACATCACGCAAGGCCCCTGTCTGTTCTGCCAAGTAGCAAGCATCAACCACCAGCTCCTTGTCCTGTCCCTCAGCAGCCCTCGCCGCGAAGGTCTGTGCAAGGGATTTGCGATTAACTTTCTATGCCTGCGGTGCAGGGTCGACTTACCTGCAACGGCTGCGGGCAAAATATGTCAATGGCTAAGGAGCACGGAACTGCAGTTCCCAGCAAGCCTACAACCCCGGCGATGCAACCTTGAAGCCCGCGTGTCTGCACGTCTTTCAAAGAGACAGGCTGACAAAACGGCAAACCGTCTAACAAAAAGACGGCAGAAGTCTTCAGAACCAAAGGCTCAAACACCTGTCGCAGAATGCCGAGTGCCAGCCTGTGGCGGCCGCTAGTCGTAGTGATACTGCAGACAGCGTGTTCATTGCCCCTGTTTGCCAGCTGTGTCTTTGCCACTGTTCTCTGTGGCGGAAATCTTCAAGCACGCGCCGTCAAATCCCGAACTTCAGCACTCCGAGAAAGATCCTCGCATGCCTGCCTCCTAGGAATGTTGCACTCCATGAAGCACCGCTTCAACCACTGGACAGCAACCGTTTGCCAGTCACTTCCCCTGCTAGTGCAAGCCCAGGGGTTTCAGGTCCGGGAGCCTCGGGGTGAAGATCTATAGAGCTCAAGGATTGCTTATTCTGACTGATCCTATGAATCTGATGAGACGGCACTTTGGGGTCAAGCCTGGTTACGGCAGAGCCCATACAGCCTTTTTGCCACAAGCAATCGATGTCCACTTTGTCCATCGCAGGCAGGCACGCTTTGGTGTCGGCTGCCTGTCCTGATCGCTGAAGCAATGCCTGTCGTCTGTTTCGGCCTCAATATTACCACTTTCATCTGATCACCGTCACCAGCGACGAGAAGTAATACTAGCAACAAGGAACACCAGGGGGAGCGCTTCGTCGTACTGTTAACCGTCGCACTCGTGTGACGGGAGGATGCCATGCAGCCTACTTCCCCATCAACCTGTAAGTCCAATTCACTTCCCGGTCAATGCTGCCGCTGCCTTGCACTGTTTGCCGAAAAGTTCATGGCGAAGAGTTGATATTGCTAAATTGAGGATACATAAGCAACCCGTGCAGAGAGAAAAGTGCGCATTCTGTTTCTAAATCCATGACATTCAGTCACAAGAAGATTAGACAGGGAATTTCTACCAATTTCTACCCCGACAGAATAAACAGTAGAAGCTGTTGCCTCAAAAGCTAAAGCTCCTGAAAACCGGGCTCCTTCAAGACACCCCCGATTCAAGGATCAGGTCTGGACAGGAAAAAGCTCGGTTGCACGCGGACGGTTGCTTTGGGGGTGCGCTTAACCCATGCAGGAAGAGCAGAGGCGGAGCGAGTCTCGCTACCAGCACAATACGAACATAACCATCACAGATGCAGTCCATGGTCTCCCGCCTTCAAAGAGCATCCCCGCATGGACGACTGTGCATGAACTGCGGTGAGGGCTGTTTGCCAGGTCCGTCAAAAAATGTACAATTGTAAAGCCTTGCTGCCAAAATCACACAACCCGCATGGCAAATAAGTAATGATCTCTCAGCATACTCATCCGCGGTTCTCTGCAAGGATTCCTTGCTTCGATTCAAAGGCTGAGGTCCATCAGCCCGACATGGGGCTAAGCTCAGGAGAGTACAACAATATTTCAGGCAGAGCTCCAGAAATTAGACGGTTTCAACGACACTTCAGCCGTTGTTGAATGATAGCTAATCAGCTAATGATAGCTACCACGCTTCGTGGCATCCGCTCTGCCCGCGAGATCGGCAGACGATGAAACGCCCAGCCGAAGTTTACACGAAGTGGCTTGTGTCAGCTGACAATTCAACATGGCATTTTAGGCCCCTTCTTGGGCTTGCGGATCGAACACTTGCAACTTGGAAGACAGAATGGCCCGTAACGTGCAGGACAGGATACAGGCTGTACAATACTAATTAGTTAACTAGTAAGGTTTTAATGACAGCTTTACATGAGAAGCATCGCTGCCAACTGACCTCATGGTCATCGAGCATATTTGCGCCCAGCTGTGGCGCGTGACAAACTGGGTCTGCAAGTTGAAGGTGTGGGATATCCAAAGGACGTAGCAGCAATGTATCAAAACAGAGCAAACAGGTCGGAATGTTCATGAATATGTTGGCCGACCTGTAATTACAAGAATCATCACAGTATCAGTCGCTATATACTATATAAAGGCGTCTTGGCGATTGTTCGATTTGTGAGCTACGACTTCGAGTAGACTTGCCCCTTAGTATGCGCTGATTGCTGAACTCAGCCTTTTTGAAGACCCGGCTCGTGACGATGCGCCGCAGATTTTGCCCGATGCCTGCCGTTCTCGTGCATTTTTTAGTACCTAAGTCGTAGTTGCACTTCACGCACAAGCCCTGCCACCTCGGCAACCCGACATGAAAGCGGGGATCGCAGCTTCCTGTGAATGCCCCAAAAAACGCTACTATCAAACCAGACTTGGCAGGCTTTTGTCGAGGTTGCCGAGACAAGAAGCCCACTTACCGGGTGCGGGGTAGCCTCGACCATGGCCCCAAGGCAGTGACGCGTGCTAGGAGGTTGTCTATCCCGGCCTAAAGGAAAGCGTGTAGTTGTGCGTGAGAGGCAGAAGCTCATCAACATCAGTACCGCATCCGATGGGCCTCAGGGGTCTAACCCTCGCCGCCCGGGTACCCTGGAGAATGTGGGCCTCTGGTATAAGTCAGAGCCTGCAGCGTGAGTTCACAAGAACGATGATCGAGAAAGATTGGGAACTGGACGTGGGATGTTAAACACTATAGTCCCCTCCGTCCTGTCATCGAAGGATGGATGAAGCCCAAAACCATAAGCCGCTGGTGACATCGCACTTACATCACGCCAACTCCAGGCTGGCGCCGGGAGAGTGATGCATGATAAAAAGCATGATGAAAAGCAGAAATTAATCTGTTCATGAGGGTTGAACATTATGAGATGCCTACGATGTAGGATGCACGTGGAAAAACGAGTTATGAACGTTGTGCAAGTGAGAACATGCGCTGTGTATGTATGTACACGAGTAGCTACCAGCAAGTTCAGTATGTAAGTAAGTGAGCATGCATCCATGCATGCATGGATGGATGGATGGATGGTATGCATGTGTGCGACGGTGCAAGTTTGCAAGTATACGTATGTAATGTAGGTATGAACGTGAGTATGTATCGTGTATGTAAGTGTGTGTATGTATGTATGTATGTATGTATGTATGTATGTATGTATGTATGTATGTATGTATGTATGTAATGTATGTATGTATACTTGTGCGCCCGTCTTCCGGCCTGTCAGTCTATTCGTCTGTCCGTCTGCCTTTGCATGTAGGTGCGATTGTATGCAACTACGACTTACTGTTTTGATTTGTTAATCTCTTTTCATTGCTGAGGTCCTTGATTTTCTGTAACAGTTAGGCTCGCTCAGGACGTTGTGCTGCGGCGACGTGACCAGTGTTAATACTAGTTGCTAGTTAATACATTTAGGATGCTTCCTGCGCGCCAGAGTCCGTAACCAACCTGCAATCCGTGAACCCCTGATTCCAACCTTAAGGCAATCCATCCTTGTTGTGTCTTTCGTAGCTTTCGTTGAGGAGTCTCTGCAAATCCAGGGCCAATTTGGGAGGGCGCAGCTTTGCAACTGCAACAAGTCGAGTCGATTCAGGATTGTCTGGAACAGACTTCACGCAGTGTCACATCACAAGATGTTCAGTCGCCATATTACTGCACCTGGAAAGCCGAGAAACGTCTGTAAGATCAACTTTCACAGTTGCAGGCCCAACTCTTGGACCCCGATTTGCGAAACACTCATCGGCATTGCCCGTCGCTTTAGAGCTGGAGTTGTTCAGCCGTGCTAATCCGGGCTCTCGGAGAGGGCGTCGGCGTCTGTGAGAGTTTCGGCCTTCGCGCACCGGAGCTTCCGGTTAGGGCTTACATGTACGCTCCCTAGGAATACCAAGCATTTTTACGGCTTGAGGTTCAGGGTCGATCGCGGGATGCCGGATCTATAAGCTGAGTGGCCAAACTGCAGTGAACGCACGCCATTCGGCGCGGTCTCGACTTCTAGACGTTTCCGGATCGTTCACCAAAACCAACAACATCTAGATCAGGTCAACAGGGTAATCTTGCATCAGTATCTTGCATCACAATTACCACCCTTTAGCACGCCAGCTTCAAAAACACCCCAGAACTACTCACAAGCCTCAAAGGTCTCTATTTAGAGAAGAAGCCGCAAAGTATACTATTTAGTCATCTCTGTCTTCGCAAAGGGTGCGACAGCGACACCTCATCTCCGACACTCCACCTCGAGCACGACTTTCACCGACCATGGAGCAGAACACTCAAGCGTCTTACAAAAAGGACATATTACTGAACCAACAATCGCACCCTGCGGCCGTCCTGCTGATCGTGCGCTGCGAAGGGCGAGCGCCCTCGGTGCGTGACACCATCGCGGCAGAGTGCCCCTGCGAGCTGACAGAGAACCTGAGCTGTTGCAGTGGGGCCAACGGCTAAAGCTTCTAGATTCAGAAGCCTTGCACCACCTCATGCGCGCCGCAAAGAGATCAACAAAAACGCCTGCCTACCAAGTGCGCCAATACCCGAATTGAAGCCAACATAGCAGAACAGGTGTCACACAACACAAAGGCAACGAGTGGTAAACGCAAACTGCGAAGTTGGGCACTACAGTCACTACTAGAACAAATGACGACAACAACGTCAACAACAGACGACCACTGAAAATAGCAGAAAAAACAAACACAAGCAATAAATACTGCAGAACTCCTGACACCTAGAGACGATGGAAACGACATGAAACGACAAACAACGAAGGCCGCAACAAAAACAAAAGCACAACAAGAACACACACTGCAACCACCAGCACCACCAGCAGCAGCACCAGCAGCAGCACCACCACCGCCACCACCACCATCAACAACAACAACAATAAGAATATAAATAACCCGAACAACCATAGCCGCAGCAACGCAAACAGCATCACAACAGCAGCAAGATCAACAGCAGGAACAAAACAAGAAAACCATGCACGCACGAAGACGACACCACACAACACAATCGCAAGAGTCACAGGAATAACAAGACCGACAAGCACAGTAGCACGAACAATAACAAGGACAATAGCCAGCACATTAACAATGACAGTAACAACACCAGTGACTACCAGTCACTACTAACAACAACACCACCACAGACAAGAACAATAACGAGAACAACCACACCGATGACAACAACGACAACAACAACAACAGCACCACCACCACCACCACTACCACCAACAACAACAACAACAAGGTGCAATCACATACTGGGTCCCCATGCCAGTATTGGTTGTGGTTGCCCGGCCCCGGTGGAAGCGCGCACTGGGTCCGGATTGACCAAAACCACGAGTACAATCCGTGTCGCCCTATCGCACCCCTATGTACGCCCCAACCGCGAGTGCGCACCGCACTCCGGGAGTTCACGACAACAACAACAACAACAAGAACAATAACAAGAACAAGAGTAAGAACAAGACCAATAACAATAAGAATCACAAGAACAATAACACTAACAAGAACAATAACAATAACACTAACAAGAACAAGAACAACAACAGCAACAACAACGGCCAACAACCCCCCACCACCGGCACCACCAGCACCACCACCACCACAAGCCTTAACGTCACAACAAGAAAAAAAGACCAGGCTCAAGCCAGCTGAGGAACAGCAACGGACCTTTGATATCGTCCTGGGCGACATGCAAGCTTTCCGTGCCATGAAGCTTCAATGTCTGCCGAAAAGCTCAGTTTAGGGCACATATTGCAACTGAATCGCAACAATCTACGAACCTTGATCTGAACATGTGCCAGGCTGTGCACTTGCATTTCATGTGTTGGCTTCCGTTGATAGTTCACTGCTGTTAACGAATTCTCGAGGCTGTATTGTCACGGCACCGTTCAGATTGACGGCGCAAGTGCTTCTCTCCAGCGATGTTGTCCTACCACTGTACCATATACCTCATTGAATGACTGTGCAGGGGAGTGGTCGCGCTTGCGTTTCTAAACAATTAACCTCCAAGGCAAAAAACTGGCCTGAACAAACTCCTCTTGTAATGCGCTGGTCCTGTGAGGGCACCGTGACTGCGGTCCTTTTCGAAGGTGACTTCAGCTCCGGCAACCTCAGTCTGAAATCTGAAAACCGACACGGTCACCATACACATGACCCAAGCATCGCTAGCATTTATTCCAAGTATCCTAAGATTCTAAAACTAAACAGCGTCACTGACGTCAGAAAAGCTATGACCACGGCACGCTGCAACAATGATCCGTGATCTGCCGCCTTTTGGATTCCTTCAGCATTGTAAACCGTAAACTTTCCGTACTCCGTAGCACTGCATCCGAAGCAGTTCGCGTGCAGCCCGCCGAGCAGCGTGGGGCGGTTTGCTGGTGAGGATTTCACGTGCTTCCACGGAAGGCCCTCAGGGTGAATGCAAGCCTATACAGGGCTTCTGGTTGCTGTGTCAAGTTGCTTTGTTCCCCTGATTCAAAATTCCCTACGGCTAGGCTCAAAAAGGTGAGTCTATGCAGGATCCTTGCCACGGAACACCTTGCATGCCCTCTACAGTGCAATGTAGTACACCACGATTGCCATCTGCTCGTGTACGCGCACGTCAATGCCTGACTGTACGCATGCGTCGGGAGTTGCAGCGTGCATGGGTCTGGTGCACCGGCATGTATATAGTCTGTCATTTCATATCGCATCTCGACATTTCACTCTTGCCGCTGTTCAACAATGCGGATCCAGGGCATGATCACTTCTGCTGTGTGCTTCTGGGTATCAGTCCGGTGGGTGTTTCAAGTTTCAAGCATGGTTCGAGATGAGTCAAGGTGGGGTGGTTTCGCGCAACATTGCGCCTGGTCCTCTGTCTCCGGGTCTCCCTCAGAGTCCATAGCCTGAGCATTGGCTGGAGTCTGAGTGCTTCCATCCGCCAGCTTCTTGTGGGCCCATGCTGCTCCATCGTAGAACCCCAGCGCACGCAGGGTCTGAAAAGCACTTCAATTAAGCAGATGCAATTGATCGTTCAGATTGTTATCGGACAGATATCGCTATTGAGACACTTCGCCGTTGAACTCTCTTCTTGGGAATCAGGGTTCAGATCAAATCCGGAGGACTACTTACAGGTGGCTCCATAAAGCTGCATTCCTGCTCAAGGGATGTTCGTCGAACTCAGAGTTGCGATGTCCAAATCAGGCGCACATCCTCCCCAGCGAGGGTCTGGAAAGCAACCCTCAAAGCGACCCCGCGACCCCGTTCCACAATTCCCGCAATTATGCTTGTGTTTCATTTGCCTCAACATTTGGGCACGAGTCAGCACTTCCCGAGCTCATGCCGCCCTCGTTCTTCGTTTATGTGGCGTCCGTGGAGCTGCCATCACTGATGCCCCTGCGAGGGGTTTCTTTCACTCCTTCCACATCAGCAGCATGAACAGCAAACAGTCTTTGGGAATGCGGGCTTTTGATGACAGGTACAACAGAATACCAAGAAACCCCAAACTTCCTGCCATAGCCGCTTGGAAGCCTCTTCGGCAAAGGCCGGGAACGCCGAGGCCGGTGTGTCAAATCCCTGAGTCCTCGGCAGGAACACAGCGTAGATCCCCAACCAGACACCGTGTAAATCCAGATGATACCAGGCTTCAGGACGACCACGACGATGACGACCGCCACATGACCACGACCACATTGTTCTCCCATGTACCGACGGAAAGGAGCTCACACAAAGGACCCGAGGAGATTGTGCCACCCAACAGGTGCACGGAACTACGCCTACGGCAGCAGCGATCTTGAGTGAATACACCAGGAGAAAGCAAACTAGACTGTCGGGATCTGTCGGGTACAAGGATGTGGCAACGGACCATAGAGCGGTGAGCGGCCAGCAGGCTCATAGAGCCCCGCCAGGATTGGAGGCTCAGCATGTGCTAGCGGGATTTAGAGCAGCACCAGAGGCCGAACAGTGGGGCCCTGGCAGGGACTTGAGAACCAAACAAACTCGCCAAAGGAGCCAAACGAGGAAGGATTCTCGGGGTAAGCAAATGGGTCAAACAAGGAAAGGCTTGGCAAGAGCCGACACAAGGGCAGAAAGCCCTGACCACTGTTCCCTGACCATGCTCTAAGCCTCATAGCCCCGGTAAGCCTAGGCATCCCTCTCCCATAAGACTTCCAAGTCTACACACACAGGCATCGCCAAGGTTCAAGAGCCTTCTCACAGGCCTGACTTCACCGACCTCTCGAGGTGGCTGGCTTGGCTCCTCATGGCCCATGGGACTTTTCGAAGTCGTGGTGTTGGATGGTCTTGGGACTTCCGCGCTGCTTGGACCGTCTGTGCAGGATACTGGATGTCATCTCCCCCTGCTCTGTGCTGACCTGCTCACTCCCTTTGCCTCCCGCTCATATCTTTGAGACGTGTGGTCCCGCTTATTGATGCAATCCCGTCTTCTTGCTTCTGGCTCCAGCAGGGCTCCTCAGCTCTTCCAACATCTTCTGTAACAAATACTTACAACTGCCCTTTCAGCATGGTGGACGTTCTCCTTGTTTCTAACACCTGCTTGTAACCCTTTCCAACGGCGGAGCACACACGTTAGCAAACCCGATCCCTTCAGGCCGAGCAGGAAATTCCTTCATGAGGTGAACAACAATATGGGAGTTTCAGAAAATTAGGGTACCTTATTTGGGGGTCCTTATAATAAGGATCCTATTATTTAGGGTACTATATTAGGGTCCCCTATTTTCGGAAACCTCCATATGTCGACATCCGAGCGAAAGGACTCCTCAGCACCACCTGCAAAAGGAAAGGGCAGGACCGCCCTTGCACGATGTCTTGACGGCCTGTCCGATTTCTGGCACAGAACGAAACCATGGCTCGTTGTTGAATATTGAATATCTGATTTCACTCTTTCTAGATCATTCAGGCTTGGCGGTGTCATCTAAAATGACGTGCCATTTCGCTCAAATAGCTTTTGCAAATCGCACACGACCCCCAGGCTAGCAAGCGTCACAGCATCAGCCCTCGACTTAGTCGTAGATCTTGGTAAACAGCCCTGCAAGAACGACAGGTCCTGCACATCCACGAGTCCCAGCATGATGGGGTCAACCTGCGTGGACATCGAGGAAACCTGTGCCCGTTGTGTCGATCGCGCTTTGGCTGCAGGCAAACAAGGCGTAAACAGTACTTCTCGGCTCCGAATTAGAGTTCTGTGTTTAGGGGGATAGGACTGCCAACTCCCAATCAAGCCGGAGCAAAATCTGGGCTTGTTGGAAACGGTTGTGCAAGGCTGCTCATACATGTTAGTCTCAAAGCGCCTGTAAGCCCCAGACTGGTTCAGCCACCGCGGCATTGGTCAAGGCAAAACGGAAACCCAAGTTCAAGAGTTCGAAAAACCGATCCTCCAGCCGCGAACTCTTCGCAGATTTCGTCAGAAAACTGAAGATGCAAAGATCAGAGTACACCTCGAAGCGTAAAGAACTGCAATAACGCCAGAAGATCAGACATGCAACCTTGACCTCATTAAGCTCTGTTCTGATTCGGTATTGTATGGTATTATATTCTATTGCTACATCATACTTGTTACATTATACCGCATGATACTAGATGTGTCTAATGTTTTGGCAAGTAAAAGTTATGCTGTATCAAACAAAAATATACTAATCGTGTAGGTTGTAGGTTTAACTTTTCAAGACATTATTTTGGTTGTTGTTGTTGTTGTTGTTGTTGTTGTTGTACCTGGACCTACAACCTCCCCATCCTGATCCCTCAGATCCTGCCTTCGGGCGCCGAGAGAGGCGTGGTGATACCTGCCGTGCTGACGTGGCACAGCAGAGCCCAGTGGGGCCTACATGTTCAGCATAGACAACTTTGTTGCGGGTTAAACCACCTTGGCTAGCAGAAGGAGGGCATTAAATTCCAGCGCATACAGGCCTTCACAGAAGCCTTAGCATCGGCTCACCCAAACACCGCACGTTGAAAACTGAGGTGCAACTTTCTTTCCAAAATTATCCTACTGCAGGCAACTGTTGCAAGTCGGGCTCCGTGTCCCGTGCCCCCATTGCAAAGCAGAAAAAGAAAAGAGTCAAGGTGCTGGGCTTTCCGGCTTGCCGGAGCGCCCGTCCTCGACTGCTTGAAGCACGACTGCATCCTCAGAGCCACAGCGCTCACTATCTATCTATCTGTCTATCTATCTACCTTAGTCTATCTACCTATCTATCGATAGATATCTGTCGAACTACCCGTCTGCCTATCTACTACCATCATCTACCTTATCTACCCATGTGTTTATCTACCTATCTATCAACCTAGCCTGATCTAACAAATGCGGCTGGATCAAATATTTCTTTTTGGGCCCGTTTGGCCGCTCACTCTACGAGGACTGAAAGCCTGCTGGAAGTCCCCAGATGCCGAACCGTCGTAATCATAAACTTTGAATACTCATTCCGCACCTGGCCTTTTCCTGGGTATGCCTGCTCCTTATTCCCATTGCTGAGCGGATGGAGTGGGGAGGGACGGGGGGGAGGACTTGTCACTTAAGTGTGTGAGTGAGCTGTGTGAAAGCGAGAATGAGTGAGAGTGTCTGTCCATCTGTCTGTGTGTGTGTGTGCGCGCACATCGTGCGCGCGCGTGCTCGCCGCACCCACAAACACACGACACAAATCAGGTGAACCATTAACGCTACCGGCTCAACACGCGCACATCCAGATTTGATTGCTTCAGGAACAACAAAGCTGGAGACCAAAGTATGCTAGCAGAGGTCCTGTGGAAGTCCGATCCCGGGCGCAGCTAGGGGATCCCAAGAAAATGCAGCTGTAGCCATGATCAAACCCGAAGGGTACAGTTACTTTCATCCACGCCACCAGAGCTGTCTGTATCGCACACTCGGAGGTGTTCACAGTGTTGGCCGTCCTCTTCGAAGCTTGCTGACTCATATCCTGGGCCAAGTAGCCTATAAAACATAAGTCTTACAGGGTTGACACCTTCTGAACCCTTTTCCATCTGGGCTACAGCAATGCCAGCAAGTCGGAAGCTCGAAAAAAGCGGTACTAGTGGCTAGCATCTGTTGATGCTCTGTAGACACAATATGAGGCCGTCCTTTGGCTTAAGGATCTCGCTGTCTTTGTTCATCTATGCTTGCATATGGACAGATGTAGGCTAATGCATGCAAGTATGTGCATACATAGTATATGCAAACATAGAAAGATTTTTGCAGCTTTGCTCCTTTCTCCTTCCTGTCTCCTGTCACTTGCTTAGTTTTCGTTTTATATGTGTGTGTGTGTGTCGGAGAAAGAGATCTTGACATACTTCCAAAGTTGCCGTTGAGAAGGACTCTGACAAGCCATGCGTCTGGGCCCGAGCTGCCGGCATTGCTCTCCAGATCGGAAACGGAAGTGTCCTCGGTGATTCTGGTTGCGACCCATCAGTGACTGTAAAGAAGTATAACCTCGACCGCCACGAGGCCACCAAGGTCTGGTGGCTTCCGTTCGAGGATGCCTGTTGAAGAGAAAAGCTTGGCGAAGACCCATGTGCTCCCCTAACGTTGCAGCGACTTCTCCCCCGAGGAAGTCTTAGATGCCGTGCATCTAGCGCCTGGACAACCAGCTAATTGCTCTTCCAAGAGTCTCTGTCCGGTGAGCGCTTCCTCGGTCGTGGCTTGCCACCTGTCGAACCGGACATCTGACGGTCGACGGAAAGGTAACTGTGCAACTGGGAAATGTTGAAGCGCAAGTCGTCCCCAAAAAACAAGGCAAAGCATAACGCACGAACGTCTCGGCAGTGCGGCGAACAGGTAAGCCGAAGAAACTTGGTGATTCATTATGTTCTTCTTGACCATGCTAACATTTCGAGACTAATCATGTTCGTGGGGGCTGTCGATTGTCGAAAAATAGGTTACAGGAAAGAGTGCAACGGTAACATGTCCCCCCGGGAATGCTCAGGAAGTCTTCCGGAGCTGTGCTGAAGCACCTCATCCCTGCTGTTGGCCCATAACTGAAGGTGCTGGATGCTATAGGCAAAGCAAAAGGACGTCGAAGCTCCGGTAAGCAATGCCAGACTTTGAGGTTCATGGCAGGGTTCCGAATTTGGCGGACACATGGAACGACAAAGCTCTCGCGAGAACCCAGTGAGCCTTCCCTTGCTCATGTAGGCTGCTCCATTTTCGCGACAGGGCAGGGCTGTGGGATTTCGCCTTAACTGAGGCCATTTTTCGAATCATGACGGCGATGAAAACTCTTTCAGTTGGTGAGGGCAGCCCGTAAAGAAACAACGCCACAGCCGGGCCTGAGAACTCCCTGGAGGCTGTCCGCGACCGTCCTTGCGATGTGCGTTTGCCCATCACCTGTTGGGCATGGGGCATTTATGGTCGGTTAAAGATCAAGGTTATCGAGGGAATGTGCCCGCGAAGCTGGCATGTGCAGCTTAGCGTATGCTTCAGCTATGACCAGCAAACACCCCATCGGATCCAAGGAAGGCTTTTTGTTCCCCAACTGCCTCAGCTTCGAGCATTGAGATTGGCTTGGGGTGAGGGCCCAAGCATGGGCCGCAAGCCTGTGGGTTTCAGCAATCACACCCACTTGAAGGATTTTGGGCCTCGTTGCAGTGAGTGTTTATAGCAGGTTTGGGGCACTCGGGCCAGGTTGCGGAACGCAATCAAAATCATGTATCTCCGAATTCCATGCGACTTAGACATCCTGTTTTCATCTGTGCATGTTGCAATGCTTACACCAGTCGTCCTGTCTCAAGGTATCCGAGCCCTGAACCATCCTAAGCCCGAAGCCAGCTCAGCAGCCACAGCCAAACATGCCGGATTGCCTCGCTGTCGTTGGTGGCCACGGATCCCGATCTAGCACGGGCCTCGGAATCATGTGGCGCCGAGTAGAACAGCTAGCCGCTAGCCCTCTGTCTGGCTGGCTCCGCAGCTACACTGTACCTTCTGAGAGACAGCACCTTTTCGCTGATTCAGGCATAGACAGTAGTGGTTAACTAGGCATGATGTCAATATTGGTCAGATTGTCATGCCTCGCAGTATGCGCCATAAATATAACGACAATGCAGACTGGGCGATTGCCAGCTCAGGTTTTTGGGAACTTGTAGGCGCCTTCCTCAAGCGCCCGAAACCTCTGAACCAAATGCCTGTATCGGCCAAGGAATCGTTCTCCAAGTTGTTGCCACGGATCTGCCCCGTGACCAAAACAGGCTTGGCTCATTGCTCAACACACGGACCCCAACTTAATTCAGCAATGTGGTAGAACAGTTAGATCTTAATCTTACTCCGTCAGAATTCGCAGGAAGACTTGTCGGTGGGAACGAAGAGAACAGTCAAATCCCAAACATGACCATGTCATGGTTGTTCGGAAAGGTCCTGCCTTGGAGTTCCTCCTCCGGGAGTTGGCACGCCTGTCCTGCAGCATGCCCGAAAGACGGCTTCAAGAAGTGGCCAAAGTGTTCCTGCGAGCTTAAATCGGTGCATTTCCGTACTTTTTGCCCAAGCGTGTGGCACACACTTGGGGTGCTAACACCAGTTTGATTTTCTTCCCGTTTCTCGGTGCTTTATTCTATACCGTTCCTTGGGCAGGCCGCCGCATGTTCCTGCGGTTGCTGCAGCCTGCCCGGCAGTGCCTGCAGCCCGACGTTCGTGCGGCCCCTGCTGGCTGCAGTTCTTGCAGTCAACTTATACGTTCCAGTACACACTCGGTCTTGCAATCGCATCGTACGGTTTCGGATGATGGGATACTCGGATAATCCTGACAAGAACAGACTCTGCGCGAAAGAGCGAGCGAGCGAGAGAGAGAGAGAGAGAGAGAGAGAGACTTCGATAAAATCATAGGTCCCAGCCCTTTACCCTTGAAGGATCCCGGTGTCTCAGGGAATCGCTGTGGTCACCATTGTGCTCTCCTACTGTTTGGGAACCCTGCGCTGGCATATTCGAAGAATCGGCAGCTTGACTCGTTTCCGTTGCAATCATGCTTGGCCGTGATGAAACCGGATTCCTTGCCGGACCCACCCACAGCCCCAGCGTGCCTCCGGGATCTCCATTGTGGTGACTAGCACGTCGAGATCCAGGCAGTCCAATTCATCCACTTCAATGTCGGCCTCCTCACATTGCGCCAGGGAATCACCCCTTTATTCTGGAGCCATATGCCCCTGCCTTCAGGCTATGCACAAGGTAGAACTTTTCAGCGACACAAGAATCGTTGACACCGGTCCATTTATTCACACTCTCACAACTCGGACAATCCAGGCGAGGTCTGTCGGGCGCAGTCGGTGTGAAAACAGGTGAAGCCTCCGGCCACAATTTGTTTGATTATTTGTTTGGGAGAAAGCACAACAGGAAACAGATGTAGCTAGAACAAAACCACATCATGGACCAACAACCACACTTTGCAACGTAGATACACAACACAGCTACACATACATGCAGCGGATATGCAAAGAGACTGGAAGCGAGATGAAAAGGTCGGGCAAGGAAACAGCAAGAAAGCATAATACACGGGTGCACATGCACATGCGCTGTACACTGCGACACATTCATGCTGGACCCGCTTTCGACCAGTGCTTTGTGAGAATGTATGTGTAGTCCTTCGGTCTGTCCAGCGCCTGTCCAGCTTAGGTATATTGTAAAAACCTTTACAGGCATACATATATGTAACGTATGTATACATGTACAACTATACATTGTTTCTAGTGAGCGCAGTGAGCTCCCGACAGAACCTGGTAATTAGATTGATCGCAAGCCATGAAGTATGTACAAGCAGCGACTCAAACAAGAGCACCACGTCAACTTTGAGGCTGTCTGCCATAGACATCTAATGAATCTAGTGCGATGCATAATATATGTATATATGCCCATATACACGCTGTGTCCATGTGTGTGTGTGTATATATATATATATATCCATATCTCTGTGTGCGTGTGTGCGTGTGTGCATTCATGCCCAGCCCAGGCGGAATACGCGCACGGCATCCGTCGTGTTGGCGCACAAACGGGACTGATTAAGAAGTTCGTATTCCAAGCACACAAACAACAGCTGCAAGGTTTGCAGACACAAGGGAATGGCAAACGAACATCTTGACCTTGTTACTTCTCGGAACCCTGCCTCACTCGGCATATTGGCTGCGATGCTGGCTCCATGCGTATCGTCCGAAGTTTGGACTTCGATGCTGGCGTGCTGCACGGAAACCTCTGCGCGTCAGGGTGCATCGGAGGTCTTCGGAGACACACCGTCCTCGACAAAGCAGCTGTCAGAGGGCTCCAGACAGGAATACAGAGACAGGCTCTTTGGCAAACGGCCTGTTTTGCAGCCTGCAAGAGTTTTGGCCTGGAACCAAAGGAGGGGCTCAAGGCAAAGCTCCAAGTCTGCGGTGACAAACGGCCCGCAGTCCGAAGCCCAACCCGACAATGCATGGACCAAATACGATGACGGGGTGTGAGGGGTGTCAAGACTGCTCTTCAGTCCAGTCGCAGTCTCTGTTGCCTTGTTCTCCCGCTTCTCCTGGAGCAACGTCACTTCTACCGTGTTTGCTTCTGGAGACCCAGCGCTGTGGCAATGATGGGTACAATGACGTCTGGGTACGGTACTGGGCCCTTTGTGACGTGCACTTTCGGCTGCTGCTTTGCGAGCGAGGAACAAGCAGGTGTGATTTAGCACGTGATTCCTGCCGAGGCTGCGAAATATCTTGCTTGTCTGCTTTAATGCACCGTCCAGGACTAACACTTCAGCTCTAATTGTTTCGACACCTTTGTCCTAACACATAGGCCCAGAAGTGCACGAACAATGCACGAGAGAGATAGAACCCGCCGTGCTGGGATGCCGAACGCCACGGCCTTGTCACAAAATCTCCACCGAACCAATTAAAAGCGCTTCATGGTGCAGGTGTTTCGGAGATGTACTGGCAATGGATTCTTGCTATTTCGTGTACCCGTGCTGACCCGTCCAAACACGCATGACCCGAGCTGGAAGATGTGTCCGTCGGCGTCTGCGTCGCAGCGTGAATCTGCTCCGGTGCCTTGCGTAGCCGGTATATGAATGGAATCCGGTCAACTCAACACCAACTTAGTAGGTGAAACTGGGTACTCAGTCAGCCGCTAGCTATGTGAAGAAGTGCGATGGAGATACGAGCAGCAAATTTAGAGGCACCGAGCTTTCGTTGGAACCACAGAACTCCCGCGGCAACGAATTTGTCTCGCAGATGCCAGCAAACGTCTGAATGCTAAGCGGAAAGACAAGCGCCCCAGCTAGAGCAAGCTCTAAAAATCAACTTTGCCTGAATCGGTAATCGGTATGCCAGGTGAAAACATTACATGCTAGACACCTGACTAGCCTGCCTTCGGGGGCAGCTGTCGGCAACATAAGGGCTTTCGAAAGCACTTAGACACGCTGCTCTAGAACTCACTCACCAAGTCTCCCTTGACCCCGGAAGCCTGACTGCAACAACTACTTTCCTCCCCACACACGAAAGCCGTGCCGACAGAATCTTGAAGGCAAGGGCAAAGGTCAGGTGCCCTTGAACACGAGGCTTCTCCCTCGCGACATGTTGAAGAAACTCCGTCCCAAACTCTCCGAAGGATGCCCGACAAACGGCCCGACCGCGTGCCTCCTTCTTTTGCGCCAGTAGATTTCCTTGGAGGCTGGCCTGATGCTAAAGGGCTCACTAGACTCGGCACCAGTCTTAAGGCTGAAGGTCTTGGGACTCGTAAGGCTCACTGGATTTCAGTTGCAAGCCTGGGGGTGTTGGGGTGGGGCGGAAGTGTCACCATATTGATATTACGAGCTGGGCTGTACTTGCGGCTGCCACATTCTGCAAAACGGCAAACTCGCACGTGAGGGACACGCCATGTTTCCGAACTGGCTGATCTAGCTGCGGCCTATCCTCTTGTTACGACATCGAAGCAACCATCAATCAAGTTGTACACATGATTCAGAAACCCCTCGTCCTGAACACCCAATGCTGGAATCCTGATGAGTGAAACATATGGGGGGGCGGGGCGGGGGCGTCTTATTCTTCCTACGGTCCTACATCACGCGATGCCTGCATGGCTTTGTTCTTGAACTTGTGGAGCAGCTCCAAATTATCTTTCATAAGCTTCTCCAGCTCAGACTGATGCTGCTCCTGAGGGAACGGGATGGCTCTGAAGATTCTGCTGGGACGCTTTCGGGATCGTATCGATCGATTGAACAGAACTCAGTGGCAAAGGCGGGGTGGTGTAAGGTCCTCCAATCGCTTTCTCTGCTCCTCCAGCCGATCTTCCACTTCCTCTTCAAATCCGATGCGGTTCAGCAAAAGATGCTCAGTCCAATGCGCGCTCTATCACCTTTAGACTCTCGACAGGCAAACCAGCAGCTTGCTTCGTGCTCCGTTAGGACCTGCCTCGAATTCCACCTGCAAAGTCTTGAAGCACTCGGAATGCAGCTGGTTCCTGCAAAGATCCCCCCTCCAGTTTCCGGAGAAAACATAGCCGGCCTGACTGAGGCTCTCGTGGACTGAGAAGTGCGAGATGATATCTGGCACAAACTCAGCACCTCTCTCCTGCATGGCCAGGGGCTGCATCGGCTGTGAGACTGGGCCTTGAAGGCTGGGCAGGAAAGAACATGCCTTCTTTGCCTGGGCGGCTTAGGCTTTACACTTCTACTGCAAATCCACCAGAGGCCCAAATCTACATGACACTTGGATGGCCGTTGAAGTTAAAAGGCTCATGGTGGGAAGAACAGCTCTCGAACCGGCTAGAAAGAGACTCTAGAATCACCCTGGAGCAAAAGCCAGCATTCGAGGTCCGCCTCTGCCTGCTCCTTCCGAACAAGCTGCTGTCGAAGGCCGGCTACCTGTTCTTCTCTGGGCTAGCATGATTTCAGCCGTTTCTCGGCCTTTCTCTTCATAGCTAATTCTCCGATCAGCTGCTGCAGTCCATGCACTGCAACTTCTAGTGCGCGTCGCGAAACTGTCTTTCTGCGAGTATTCACCGAAGGTAGTTTCTGACGCTGGTCTCTCGACTGGTTGAAAGAGCTCGGCTTCTGGGCTTTACAACAAGCAGGCCAGCGGCTTTACCAAGTCTTACCAGTAGGTGCTTGCCAGACCTGTGAGATACACGTTAATTTTCGGCTCCGAAGACAAAAGAGACCGTCCGAAAACAAGTACAGTAATACTCACTCCCCGGCCTCCCGCAAGTACGCCTCTCTCATCCTCGTGAGCTCACTCCTGGTGTCACAGGTAGGTGGGTGCATCAATGCCCGTCTCTTCACAAACTGCATGGACCGCAAGGCGATATTAAATCCCCACCGCTTCCCATGGTGTGAGACTCGACGGGCAGTGCGGGCGAATGCCGTCTCCGAGATGGGGATGCGAAGCTCGGAAAGCAAGCAACTCCCCAGGATCCTTACCTCCTTTTTTCAGAAGGGACTCGACTGCTGCCCTTAGCCTCCTAATTCCTGAAAGCAGGGAACCGAGCAACGCTCAGAACGTCGTCTTCTCAAACAAGCCCCTCGAGCACAGCGTTCAGTTCACATCGTTTCACCAGACTACAATACTAGACCAAACCAGGCGTTTGAAGACCGTCCTCGCCCTGTCTGCGCGCTGGGTTGCTGCTGCGGCCTGCGAGAGCTTCGCCTGCCAATCCTTCGCACAGGGTGCAGTGCAGTACACTGGTTTTGCCTCCAGAACTCCTGAGCGCAACAGGTTCATTATCACCGCGAAGAGCTGCTTCAAGTGACCACAAGCACTCCGAGCAGTAAAGTATAGTCCTTTATGCGGGAGGCAGTTTGCGGCAAATTTCTCGCTCCATAACAAGATGTGCTTCGTACAAACGTTTGAAGGTGTCTCTCACCCGTATGTGCCTGAATCGAGGGTTGGGACTCCATCGTTAACTACAGTAAACTGCAGTACGTGACACAAGCTGTCCGGATTACCTTAACCTTTTGGTGTGTTTACCAGGTTTGCCTTCAGGACTCACCAAGAAAAATGTCTGACATCAGTTCAATATGCCAATAGTAGTAGTCGCCGTAGTAGTAATGCTAGTAATTAGTAGTACTTGTTGTTGTTGGTGGTGGTGGCGTCGGTGTCGGGGTTAACCGTGAGCTCTATACCCAGCCAGATAAACATTACATAGATTTGTGCGGACGAAGCAGCTCAAGATGCAGTTTTACCAGGAATTCGTGACACTGGTTGCTATGCTGGCTATACCGACACATTATGAAGTCTAAGTGGCTACTCAAGCCTCCAGAGAAGCCACGCGTCGACAGAATCACCGTTCAAACAGAGGAGGTGTTTCGGCGCTGACGAAGTAAGGACAACTCATGCATCATAGGTTTTGTCAGACACCACGACTACTACGACGACTACGACTACAACAGCAACAACAACAAGAGCAGCGGAAACAGCAACAGCGACAGCAACATCAACAGCAGAAACCGCAACAACAGCAACAACAACCACCACAACCACGACTTTGACTACAACCTCTTGCCCAGCCCTCACCACCTGAACACCTTCATCCTTCACTCCCAGTGATCAAGATCTCCTGGAGGTTGCGCTTACATTCCATCTTGGCCACCTGCATGACAGGGCGTGTTGGTGCCTGGAGCTATGCAGTCTAGTCGCCCGTCTGGGGCTGAGGAAGATTATTTCTATTTTCATCTCATTCCCGACCCTTACATTGTGGATGTTTGCGAACCCATAAATCAGTATGCCATACTATCGTTACAATTGCTTGGGGTAGGCGTCGTATGAGGTAGTTTGGACACCAAGATTCCTGCTGAGCCACAACAGCATGATTCATGTTCGCTGTAACTGGTGCAAAGAGCTGCTTGTGTCCGTCCAAACAGTCTACCAAGTACCCGTGGCTGTACCTGCGACCGGGTTTGCGAACCAAATGGAAACGTTCTAGAACACCTGCTTGAAAACTGGCCGGCCTGGTACAAATCTTTATTGCAGTGGCCAGATTCAATGAGGTCGCCCTCGAGTCTCAGAGCAAGGTCGTCCAAAGTCTCTGCCTCAGTCTTCGAAGTGTCCGCCGGTCTTTATCTAGGGGGGGTGAGGCATGGTGGCAGCAAAGGATAGAAACGAAATCAGCAGCAAAGGCAGCAACCAAAAGCTGTGAGCAGCTCGGAGCGCGACGATGTTCGACTGCACGCGGGAGAGAAGGGCACCCGGCTTAACCGGGAACTTCAGCAAAAAGTCAAACCCTCCAGGGTTCAGGTGGCTCTCTCTGAAGCCGCATGCAGGCACCGTGCAACGGTGTTGAATGGGGCTTCAACTGAAATCCTTCTGCAAGGTGTCAGCGGATGCAAGCAAAACGACGCGTACCTTCCAGCTTAACCCTTGTGGTTCAGCACTCCGCAAGAAGAACTGTCACGGAAACCCTTGCAAACCAGAAATAAGGCAACAAATTCCCATAGGGCGCAGATAGAATCGTTCAGGCTGCATGTTCCCAGCTGCTCAATGATTGGTGCCTATCCTCAGCTCAAATTCTTCTATTTCACTTCCATACCTACTGCTTCGAGAGCTTCTTGGACATTTCAGTGTGCCAGCTACCCATCTCCAGGTTTTGGGGCCTGCCGCTGGGATTTCTACCCGGAGAAGCAGCGAAGTATCGGCCAGTGCCACACGGGAACGGGGCCCCGAGGCCATGGCGACGAAAGCTACACGGGGGTTTCCGAAAATTAGGGTACCTTATTTTGGGGTCCTTATAATAAGGATCCTATTATTCAGGGTGCTATATTAGGGTCCCCTATTTTCGGAAACCCCCACACCTGAAAGGCACTAAACCCAGCTTTTCGGCACAGCACCGGCTCGGATTGCAGCTTCGAGTGTCAACCGTGTGCCTTAAAATTCTCTCTATATGTATGTAGCGTGTACGTAAATGTTTGTGTGTATGTTGTTTTAGGGAAAACAGGTACGCAAACATGCGAGACATTGTATTGTGGGAAATGTCTGGAAATGTCCTCCGCCGAAAACCAGGATAGCTAGAATGACCGGGAGCCACGCGTGACGGCAGTTCACATGCACTCGCATGAAAAATCTCTCCACGACCATGATACCCCAAGGTTGGGAACCGTCAAGCGTAAACCATGATACGCTAAGCCCAGTATTCGCCGCAGACTCTTTTGGATTTGAAAGGCTCAAAATCTATATAGTGCTTGAGTTTCCGCGGATTCGGCACTCTCCCAAGCCTAGTGTAGCATCCCTTACTTTAAGGAGTTTGGCATTTGACCATGGCCCTTACGCTGGCATGCGATAACACTCACATCTTGGCACCAACCTTCTAGGCCATCATGCCACACAGAAAGCGACATGACCCCTCTTCCACGCCTTCAGTGGCCATGGACGCCCGCATCTGTGAAGCGGCAGGAAGGAGTTTTTAGGTTGTTTTCGCTTCGTATTATAGGTAAAGACCTCTGTTCACGTGCAGGCGTACAGCTCGCGTCCTGTCCAGAACCTGTTCTGCAGGGTAGCCGCTTTAGTGTACCCGTTGAGTCAAGTGCCTATTCATTCGCACAGCTTTTAAAGACCCTACCTCCCCGTCTTCTACGGGATGTGGGGGACAAAGGGTCCAATCAACCCCCCAAGCCCAAAGCCCGAGACTTCACGGCCTCGCCAGAATATATTCTAAGCAACTAAGCATGTACATGTGCACATACACGTCGACACGTGCACACGAACAAACGTGTACAGTATCTACATACATGGATACATACGCACACACACACACACACGCGCATGCATGCATGCATATATAAATTCATACTTACTACGCTTACTACACATACATGCATGCATACCTCCATGCAAACATGCACACATACATACAGACAATTTCACCTGGTGCCGTCACTGCTTCACACAACATGCGAACTGACATCCACAGGTTCTCAGGTAGGTCATGAACTTTCGGTTTTGACACTCAAGTTGGCCAGTGCCACATCTAAATCGTGCGGTATGAGGCTATGAAACCGTCGGGCTCGTGCGAATCCTAACTACTTCAGCCGGCGAACTTCCCAATCCAAGTGCCAAACGTGCAAGTTCCAACTTGAACTGACGTACCCTTTGCTGTTGGTGCCGCAGCCTTGACCGGGGATATGGTCTGCTTCCATCCGTCCGCCGCGAAACAGCTGATAAAGCAACATGACAAACGGCACGAGTAGAAATGCGTGTTGTTGAGATGGTCTGTGTCCTAGCAGAGAAAGTTGTGCCAACACGGCAGTAAGTAGGCAGCAGCAGTAACACGCACTAGCAGTAGCAGCAGTAGCAGCAGTAGCAGCAGTAGCAGCAATAGTAGCAATAGTAGCAATAGTAGTAATAGTAGCAGTAGTAGCAGTAGCAGTAGCAGTAGCAGTAGCAGTAGCAGTAGCAGTAGCAGTAGCAGTAGCAGTAGCAGTAGCAGTAGCAGTAGCAATAGGAGTAG